TTGCTTTCTTCAGACGTGTTGAAGCTGTCGTGATAGCTGGTGCAGTCTTGCCTCGATGCGGTCGAACCCTGTTGATCCCTCGCCGTCGTACCCCTTGGAGCCCGTCTGGTGAACCGTTTCCCTCAGGCGCCCTCTTTCTTTCAATGACAGAATCCGTTATTGTCTCATTTGTTCGTACTCTGCCGTGTCGTACGCTACTTTGGGGCAGCTGTCTGCCATGGCCTGCCGAATGCATGCTGATAACCTGTTCTGGCACCCTTGCGCGCCCCCTTGGTCCCACTTGCTGCGCCGCTCCTCTTCGCTGATGTCGCTGGCGCGACTTTTGTAGAAACTCCACCCGTGGTATGCCGTCGCTGCATGCTCCCATTAAGCAGTCCGTGTTGGCTTGCGGCGTCAGCTTGGGGATGTGGGCACGCGTGACGTGGATGTCCATGTTCACGAATACTGGTACGTGGTCACGCAGGTGTGTGCTGACGTGTCTTTGTAGTCGCCGCGCTAGTCCCAGCAGCGGGTGTAGTTGCCGAATCCGCCCGAGGCTCTCAATAGGCACTGCGATGTGATCTATCTTGCTCTTGTGCGTACCCTTGTAGAAAGTTGGCCCCGTGGTCCAAAATGCGTCCGCCATGGCCAGGTAGCTGCCTTGGAGGAAGACGCGTACCTGCGTGTTCGTTTTGCTCTCGATTGCGGGCTCTTTTATGCCGACATTCTCCGACTCTGTCTTGAATCTTCGCCCAGTCCGATCTGTCTGCCATCCAAATCCGCAAATGTAGCCGCCTGCAATACTCGGCATACATGAACATCACAGTTTGCCAAATTCTCTCTCGATCCAGTCCAGGATACATTTTGTGGTAGCTCTCAGCATTGTTACTGCCAGCCCCTTCGGTGGTATGCAAATCGGGAATATTGCCAAGCTAGTACTGCCCAAATTGAACTGTGCCATCGTAACCCGCCCTGTGATACCCAAATGTGGCGGTGGCGTGGCAACTCTCATAAGTGTTCCTCGAAATCTTTTCCCATACAGGATACTCAGTCCGCACGAGTTGTTTGTGGTCTTCGATCGTCCCCATCCGAAATTCACTGCTTGGTGATGCGGGAGCTGGCATTTGGTAACGTCCGCTTGCCTCGCTGCTCGTCCCGTGCCGATTGTGACATAAAAAAACCACGCTCTGCCCCTGTGAGGATACCGCTTCCATTCTCGTAGAACCTGCCCATTGAACATTACGAAATTTGAACTTCATTCATTAAGCGGGTGTGTGGGGGAGTGTGGTTGCGCTGCTGCTGCTGTTGCCCGAGTGGCACCGTCCCTCTGCTCTGCCCTGGCTTCCTGCACAAAGAGATGTGGTGTGCAAGGCTGGCCTTGGGGGAGCTCGCGGGCGTTTGTGCCTGGGCGGCTCCTGGAGGAGGAGGAGGAAGAAAAGGAGGAGGAGGAGGCTGCTGGGGAAGCCTCCCTGAACATCGTTTAAGCGATCCCTATCCCCACTGGTGTGGCCTGGGCCCCGCTGGCCGATTTGATTCCCCCCTGGGAACGCGGATGTAGGCTGCCCCCTTCGGGTCTCGAGGGGCGTTTCCCCAACTCTGAGGTGGTGGGATGCTGGGGATCGGGATGGAGATGGGGATCGGAGCGCTCCAGACAATAGGAGCGCCTGATCGATTGACCAATCCATCGGTCAAGCGATGCTGACTGTTGAGGCCAGCTGGGACTTCCTTGGGGGGGGCTGTCTGCGCAACCCCGAACCTCACCACTTGAGCAGGACCGACCGTCCTTGCATTCCTATAGGTCTACCGCGACATGTTCTTAAGACCCAACAATGTTCGAAGAACAAAAACAATGTTCGTAGGACCGTTAACCCAAACCAACAGCGGCCGCTGTGGGACAGGCGGTCTGCGGCGGCGTGGACAGCGAGTCCTTGCCAAAACTAACAGGGTCGGCTGTTGGGCTAGGGGAACAAAAAGGGACATAAACATAAAAACTCGGAGGTCCGCGCGGATTTCTCGCATCGGCGCCGGACCCCCCTCCCTGGCGCGCGGAGCGCGCCAGGCGCGGCGCCGGAGGCGCCGCCCGGGGGGCCCCAGCGCCGATCCGATAAACCCGCGCGGACCTCCGAGTTTTTATGTTTATGTCCCTCTTTGTTCCCCTATTTTCAATATGAACAGGATCGGCTGTTGGGCATTGTACCCATTCCTTCAGTCCCCATTTCGTTCGTGCAAAACTTAACTTAAGTCGGGCCTGTCCTCCTACAGGGTGATTTTCGACGAAAAATCAAAAATACACCACAAATAGTCAAAGCATAATCCCAAAACAGTCTGGGGACTATTTTTGGACTATCTCTTGGCCTTTTGGGGTCAATTTTTGGGGTACTCTTTTTCTTGATCGTCGAGAATCCCCCTGTAGGGAGCACACGCCCGACTTCAGTGCAGAGCTGCCCGCACCGCACCCGCCCCTGCGGGGCGCCGGCTCCTCCACGGGCGGCCCCCGCGCGCTGCCGCAGAGAGGCCCCCGGCCGCGGCCGTGTGGCCGGCCCGGCGCGCCGCGCGCGGCCCGGCGCGCGCTCCGGCGGCGGCAGTGGGGCAGGCAGCCGGCGAGGTGGCGGCGGGGTGACAGGGCCGCCGCCCGGAAAGGGGACTCAAAGAATATACACCACCACCAACAACACCACCACGTCGGCTCCTCCTCTCTCCTCATACCCTCCTCTCTCCTCTCCCTCTCTCCTGGGGGAGGGAGGGGGTGAGGGAGGTGGTGCTGGTGTATAGTTTTGGGCTCCCCATCCCTCGGGGGGGAACGAGAGGGGGCCTCTCAGAGGCGAGGATAGAGGCGCATATAGCCGCGAGAGTCGGCTGCACGTAGGAGTGGCCCTGGGTAAGAGTGACCCGTGAGGCCCTCGCGCGCCCTCTGAGGCGCGCGCGCGAGGGCCTCAGAGGGCGACGATAGGGGCGGATAGTCCAGGGGAGAGCAACACACGCCGGTCGGAAGAAGTTGGTGGAAACGTGAAGTAGGAAGGCGTTGGAATCTAGATTGGACTTCCGCCCGCCCCCCGAAGAGGAGGAAGGAAGAAACACCGTTCGACTCTTGAAGTAGGAAGGCGCCTAAAGCAGATCAGGATTTGGGCAACGACCGGCGTGTACATGTATCCAGGGGCGCCGACGCTCTATGTCTTCGACAAGGCTCCTGGGCGAATGCGTGTTATGCCCGCCCCTGGGCTCTTCGCCCCTATCGTCGCCGCCGTTGAGGGGGGGGGTGGCAAAGGGTGGGGTAGCAGATTTTCCCCGCGCCTCCCAGCGCCGGGAGGCGCCCATGCGTCGAGGAATGGGCCCGGCGGCGGGGCCGAAGCCAGCCGCACGCAGCAGATCTCGTAGCCCCCCCCCTTTCCCAATCCCTCGGGGATGGACAACACCCCCTTTAGTAAAACATGGTGTAGTGAAAACGACCTCGGGCCCAAATTTGGCGGGTGCAAGCCTGGAAAATGACGGCCGCGGCGCCCTCTCGACAACCGAAAACGGACAATTCACTAATCGACGTGTCAGGGTGGGGGTTTTGTCCACCCCCGAATCCCCCCCTTTTCCATCGGCCCGACTCCCAGAGGCTCGCTGGCAGGACGGCCCAGGATCGAGGCGACGAGTCGGACGGGCCGATGGAGCAGATCTCGGATCGGCGGAGCTCGGCAGCCGAGGCGGGAGGAGTGGATTCGGCGGGAATGGGGGCATGCAAGGGAGGCCTCCGTGGAGAAACCGAGATCCAAGGCGGCATCCGAAGCCGAATCGAGATCGGAATCGATTGAAGTCGCATCGCATCGAGTCGGAGGAGTCGAAAGGAGCCCTGCGCTCCGGAGGGCCCCTTCCTCCGGGCGAGGTTCGCACGTGTGGCCAAAAACAGGTGCGTAGCAACCTCTTCTCTCCTCCTTCCCCTCCTCCATGCATGGGCAGGCCCCTTGTGCGGGTACCAAAGGTGATACATCCGCAGTACGTTGCGTACAAGTGGCCCACCTGGGGTCAGCAAGCAGAGAAAATGTAGATTGGATAGGCAGCTTCCCAGGCCCAGCTGCAAAGCAAAGCTATGACACAAACTAAACGAGAGAAGCAGCAGACCAGAACGTCCTCCACCTTCAGCTCCTTTTTCCTGTCCCAACTCCTCCTCCTCTCCCTCTTCACTCCTCCGTCTCCCTCCCCTGTCCCTCCCTCCGCACCTTTCTCCTGCTTGGAGGATTCTGGTGGTATCCAAAGGAGGTCAAAAAGGACACACAAATGACGAACGACCTTCGCCGTCCTCCCCCTCCCCAAACGCCGAATGTCGTAGTCAAAACTGATACTGAGGACGCTCGATAAGAATGCGACGGCAAGGGACGCTGATGCCGAGGTTCTTCGAGCAGGGCTGGCGATCGAAAGTGGATGACCGAAGGGGCAGGGATGCAAGGGTACCCTTGGGAGATCGATCATGCTTACTGTCCATTTCGACTGCACCCATGGAACTTTTGAACCCTTCCCCATTGGGGCTGTTCTTCGTCCTGGTTGGTGCGCTGACGGCCCCAAGGGCCCTGCACAGGCCCCTGGGTACAGACACTGCCAAGAACCCGCGTCGTGATTCACCATGACGCGAAGATTAGATTCTGCGGCACGCCCTGGGGCAAGTGGGAAAGCGGAGACCTTCTCCGCGGCTCGGACTTCATCGGTCTTCGGAGAAGTTTTCGGAGTCCTCCCCGAAGACACAAAAGACTTCCCAGAAGGCCAGAGGGCTTCTGAGAAGCCCCGCAGCCTTCTGAGAAGGTCTTCTCCTTCTCACTTCCCCCCCCTCGCTCGCCGCCGATCCTCATGACGCGAGGGTTAGTTGATCTTTCTTGAGACCTTCCTGGGACCACTCGCTCCACTCATGCGTCGATACTGCGTCGAACGGCCGTCGAAATTTAGTCGAACTTGAGCAGAACTTGAATCGACCTAGGGTCCAACTAGAGTCAATCTAGAGTCGAACTAGGATCGAACAGATCTGTCAGGTGGTCCTCCAAACGAACATCGAACGAGGAGGTCTGGGCCCAACTCGGTGCAACGGATACCGCTGCTCCCCAGACCTCTCCAAGGGTGCATTCTGACCAGAATTTCGATGCGAATCCAGCCGTGGCGACGAGGGCCTTCCAGGAGGCCCAAAAAGGCGCAAACGAGGCAAGTGCAGCGGTATCAGTGCCTTTCCTTCCTCTGAGGATCTCTGGGTTTGGCGTCCCCCCCAGGGGGAGCGACGCGGCCTTTTCGCCTTGCTGACGAGGTCACAAGCGTCTCACGTCTGCAGCGCGTGTGGGTCCGGGGCTCCGCGGGGGCGGCCGGGCGCGCGGCAGCTAGCTGTCTGCAAGCACCCTCCGGCTCCACCCTCCGCCTCGAGGTTCGAGCATCGAGGGTCAAGGAGGATCGAGGAGGATCGAGGCGGATCGAGGCGGATCGAGGACCAGCTGAGGGCCGAGGCGGATCGAGGAGGCTCGAGGGTCGAGTTTGTGGGGGTGTCCCTGTGCCTCTGGCGGCCTCTGGCGGCCTCGGGGCGCCTCCTCCAGGGGCCACCGCCGCAGCTACCCTTGAGTCTGGCGTGTCCCCCTACAGGGGGATTTTCGACGTTTTTTTGTTTTAGATATTTCAAAAAAGAAAAAGGGT